CCCGGGGGAACCAGGACCAGAGGGTTCTGGGTTGTAGTCCCCGGGGGAACCAGGACCAGAGGGTTCTGGGTTGGAGTCCCGGGGGAACCAGGACCTGAACTCACCCCTGACCCCATTAGGGAATAAGAGGTTAGATAATGGATGGATGGATGATTCCATAGACTTAGAGACTTAAACAGTACTTTATTGATCCCTTGGGAAGACTCCCTCAGGAAATTAAGGTTACCAGCAGCTTAAAGGGCAAAAAGTATTAAGTTAAAATTTAATTAAGCAAAAATAAATAAATAAAAATACAAAAAATACAGATTAAGTACAGTGTATATAATAGGAGTTGTCTGTAATATAACCATGACATGTTAAATGTTGCTGATGCTTCTTTAAGTCCCGGTATGAAACATGCTTGTTGCAGAGGGACTAGGACTTCTGACCTTCTACAAATAGAACAACTATTTCCTCCTGTTTGTGTCCTCTTACCTCTGAGGGGCGTCGCCATGGGGCAGGTAGCCAATAGAGGCCAGGACAGACTGGATGGTGGAGGCGCTGAGAACCGGCAGCAGACAGTACACGTATGGACCTGTAAAGGTCTGAGACAGAACCAGAGGCAGGGTTAGCCTCTGTAAAAATAGGACAAAAGACTGTAAAATAGGACAAAAAAGAAAGTAAGAACGAAAATAAACTAAAGAGAAAGTAAAAGTTGGAAAATAAAAAGAAAGTAAGTACTAAAATAGAATAAGAACTCGCCTTTCTTATTATTTTTCTTTTCAAAAAGGACGGAAAACCATGTTTAAAGTTAGAAAAGAAAGTAGAAGGAAAGAAAATAAAATAAGTCAGAAAAGAAAGTAAGCACTAAAAGAACTTAAGAAACCGTAAGTTAAAAAAAGACGGTAAAATAGGACAAAAAAGAAAGTAAGTACGAAAATAAACTAAACGGAAAGTAAAAGTTGGAAAATAAAAAGAGAGCAAGTACTAAAATAGAATAAGAACTTTATTGTAAGAATAGAATAAGGTTTATTGTAACCAAAAACACTCATGAAGAGTGAATGTCCAGACAAAGTACAAATCAAGGCTGTGGAAAACTATGAGCAAAGTATCAAAGCAATAAGTTAACAAGACTGTGTCCAAGTATCAAATCATGATTAACAAAACTGTGACAAAACATGGCTATGACGAAAACTGTGGCTATGGAACAAAAACATGACTATGGCAGTAAAGTACGAAACAAGAAGGATGAAAACACACTGGCCCAGGACATGGGAAACGAGGACTATTTAAACACATGAGGGAGGGGAACCCCAGGTGTACACAATAGGTAATCAAGACATGACAACACACCAGACATTCCCCCAGACGTGACAGTTTGGGATTATTATTATTATGGGATCGAGGGTTTTCTGCTGATTTCAGGTGTCTGACCAAAAAAAGGACTTTGACCTCAGTCTTTTCATTTGCGGGTTAAAACCAGATAACTGTGGTTTATCCCACTCACAGTGAGTCCAAGAAGTATTTGATCCCTTGCTGATTTTCTTCGTTTGCCCACTAATAAAGATGTGATCATTCTGCACGTTTAATGGTAGATGTATTCTAACATGGAGAGACAGAATATCACAAAGAAAATCCTGAAAATAAATAAGTATTTGAAACAATACTAGCGGCTAGAGGGAACAAATACTTATTTCCCTCAATGAAATACAAATTAATTCATATATATTCCTTAGATTTTTTTTCAGGCACTACAGTTTATCTGGGATGTCATAATCCTGAAATAGATGATTTGTTTCCAACTAGAAGCCTGTAGAGGATTGTGGGGTACAGCTGTGCACATTCATGTAGAACAGGAACTTTTCTGCTAACACATTTGTGCTAACACAAATCCCCTTTTCTACTAAAATATTAGCAGTAGCGTTAGAAAAATGTGGAATGATGGTTTTCAGGGTAAATACATATATTCTGTGTCTGTGTTTTGAAGGATTTAATCAAATCCAATCCAGCTTTGTTCATAAATCTCTTCACATATCAAAAGGACCTGAATACTGAACACAATAAATCAGAACATTGAAATGGAAAATGTTCTTTCACAGTTTTGCTTGTTGGGGCAGAAATATAAAGACAGAGACGGCGTCTAAATCCAAGTCTAAGAAACATAAACCTACCAGACATTTACAACAATCCCAAAGGAGGGTCACGGGTCACGAGGCGTGAGCGGCAAAAGAAATTCAGAAAGGGAAAGAGAAAAGACAGCACTGGTTCTCAGATTAACTCATCCCCACCGATAAAAGAGTGAGGAAGAGAGAAAAGTAGGTTAGTAAGTAAGCAGAAAACAGAGTAGGTTAAATCTGAGTTAGAAAAAGGACAGATTCAGTAAGTAAGAAGAAAGAAAAGTAAGTAAGAAGTGAGAAAAAAAGGTTAGAAAAGAAAGTAAGAAAACGTCATTAAAAAGAAAGCAAAAGTAAGTACAAAGGGCAAGTTAGAAAATAAAGTAAAACGAAAGAAAATAAAATAAGTTAGAAAAGAAAGTAAGTACTAAAAGAACTTAAGAAACGGTAAGTTTAAAAAAAGACGGTAAAATAGGACAAAAAAGAAAGTAAGTACTAAAATAAACTAAAGAGAAAGTAAAAGAAAATAAGTTGGAAAATAAAAAGAAAGCAAGTACTAAAATAAAATAAGAACTAGCCTTTCTTATTGTTTATTAAGTGTGGAAAATGATGTTCTGTGAACCACACACACACACACACACACACACACACGCACACGCATTCACAATGTTGCAACCTTGTGTGGGAACTACAGGTGCACAAACACAAAAGAAACAGTTCCCACACATTGTTTGTCTGCTCTAATTTTCTGTCTATCTGCTAAAAATTGGGGGCGGGGACACACTGGACAACTTTTCCAGAGTGGTTTCTTAAAACTGATCAAGAGGGCCAAAAGGTACTGGAATTGATTTTGGATGAGAGAGAGAAGTTAAGATAAGGTAAACATCTGTTCAGTATTTTAATATAAAAGTGTTTTAAAATAAAAGTGATTTTGAGGCATTAAAAGCCACAAAATGCAACGGGTCCATCAGACCCACAAACACTGGCTGAGTAACAACAATATGAACACCACACAAGGGTTTAAAATAGAATAAGAACTATCCTTTCTTATTGTTTTTCTTCTCAAAAAGGACGGAAAAACACGTTTAAACAGCACCTTCAGGACCCGGATCTCCCTCTTCCAGGGCTGCAGCACCAGGTTGAAGAGAAAGTAAAAGAAAATAAGTTGGAAAATAAAATAAAAAGAAAGTAAGTACTAAAATAAACTAAAGATAAAGTAAAAGAAAATAAGTTGGAAAATAAAATAAAAAGAAAGTACTAAAATAAAACAAGAACTAGCCTTTCTTATTGTTTTTCTTTTCAAAAAGGACGGAAAAACATGTTTAAAGTTAGAAAAGAAAGTAAGTACGAAAATAAACTAAAGAGAAAGTAAAAGTTGGAAAATAAAAAGAAAGCAGGTACTAAAATAGAATAAGAACTAGCCTTTCTTATTGTTTTTCTTTACAAAAAGGACGTAAAACCATGTTTAAAAGCACCTTCAGGACCCGGATCTCCCTCTTCCAGGGCTGCAGCACCAGGTTGAAGAGAAAGTAAAAGACAATAAGTTGGAAAATAAAAGAAAAAAAAGTAAGTACTAAAATAAACTAAAGATAAAGTATAAGAAAATAAGTTGTAAAATAAAATAAAAAGAAAGTAAGTACTAAAATAAACTAAAGAGAAAGTAAAAGAAAATAAGTTGGAAAATAAAAAGAAAGCAAGTATACTAAAATAAAATAAGAACTAGCCTTTCTTATTGTTTATTAAGTGTGGAAATTGATGTTCTGTGAACCACACACACACACACACACACACACACGCACACGCACTCACAATGTTGCAACCTTGTGTGGGAACTACAGGTGCACAAACACAAAAGAAACAGTTCCCACACATTGTTTGTCTGCTCTAATTTTCTGTCTATCTGCTAAAATTGGGGCCGGGGACACACTGGACAGCTTTGCCAGAGTGGTTTCTTAAAACTGATCAAGGGGGCCAAAAGGTACTGGAATTGATTTTGGATGAGAGAGAGAGAAGTTAAGATAAGGTAAACATCTGTTCAGTATTTTAATATAAAAGTGTTTTAAAATAAAAGTGATTTTGAGGCATTAAAAGCCACAAAATGCAACGGGTCCATCAGACCCACAAACACTGGCTGAGTAACAACAATATGAACACCACACAAGGGTCTAAAATAGAATAAGAACTATCCTTTCTTATTGTTTTTCTTTACAAAAAGGACGGAAAACCATGTTTAAAAGCACCTTCAGGACCCGGATCTCTCTCTTCCAGGGCTGCAGCACCAGGTTGAAGATAAAGTAAAAGCAAAATAAGTTGGAAAATAAAAGAAAAAGAAAGTAAGTACTAAAATAAACTAAAGATAAAGTAAAAGCAAAATAAGTTGGAAAATAAAATAAAAAGAAAGTACTAAAATAAAATAAGAACTAGCCTTTCTTATTGTTTTTCTTTTCAAAAAGGATGGA